CTTACACTACGAACAGGTTTGAACAGGGCACTTGGTGTTTGGGGTTACTCACTTGGCAGTGATATAGAAGCAGAGTCAGAGAAGAGCTTACGAGTCCCTTCCCCCAAAAACCCCACAAAAACTAAGTATCCTCCCCATGTACACTAAAAATAAAAATTGTGCCAAATCATGAAATAAGAAATTCCCATTTTTGGTGAAACATTAATCGCTTCATTCCGATCTTTCAGATTGCAATATTCAAGATGAATTTACAGACACGAACTTTCTAAGGTTTTACTTGAAGGGTACTGGTACCCCAAACTGGTCCATCACCGTGTAGGGCTTTGTGTATTACTACCAGTATTTAACCACTTTTGCAGTGCTGGGGATTGAACCCAGGGTTTTCACACTGAGCTATATCCACATCCTCTTTTTACTTTTAAAAAATATTTTTGAGACAGGATTTCACTGAATCTCCAAGTTGCCCAGACTGGGCTCAAACTAGTGATTTTCCTGCCTTAGCCTTCCAAAGTGCTGTGATCATAAATGTGTGCCACCACACCATGCTCTAACCACTTCCTATCTGGAGAATGGAACTTGGTGACATGCTGCCTATGTAACTCTCCATCTCCATCCCTAGAAGGGGCCAAAAGAGACAGGACAGCCAGGATGTGGGCATAAGACTTGGGCTCTGCAGCTGGCTGCACTGCTCACCAAGCACTTTGGCAATGCAGGTAGTGAAGCCAGGATGTTGTGTCAGTCCAAGGTTATGCCCAGGGACAGAGGTGGTGGCAAGCATCTGGGCAGCAGGACCAGCTGCCATGTCTCTTAGGGTGTGGCCGGGTGGTGTGCTTGGCCACCAGCCTCCCTGACTCCTGCCTGTTTGTTGAACCCACCCCCCTCCATCTGTGCTAAGTGATACCCTTTCAATGCAGCTCTCTTCTGCTGGAGATAGCAAGGCTGATGAGCTGTTTGCTACAGAAAACCCTGATGACCTGGGGGTTCAGAGTGGGAAGAGACTGCAGCCAGGGAACCAGGGAGCAGGGAGCAGGAAGCAGGGGGCTTTATAGTCATACAGAGGAGCCATGGAAGAATCACGGGAGAAGCGGTCAGAGGAGATAGAAAGGTTTAATGAGAAAAAGTAGACAAGAACAACTACTGTTGATTCCTATTATTTTGTCTTTAGACCCTGTATCACTTTGAACTTGCTTTGATTTGTTTATATTTGTGATACTGGTATGCTGCTACTGTTCTATTTTTTTGTTTGTTTCTCATTTATTACTCTCTTTAAAATAAAAAAAGAGGAAGAGTAGACAAGTTGAGGTCAGCAGCAATTCCAGCAGGAGAAGGAGGAGACACAGGTGACCCAGTCTTGACGGTGGCATAGACAGGACGGTGGCTTCCAGGGACACAATCTGGAGGTGATTTTATGCAAGACTGAAGGTATCCTTCTTAAAATGCCACCCTGCTTGGAGTCTCTGAGAGGGTCAGTCATGAATGCCAGCAGAGACCCACTGTCCCATCAGAGATGTTCTGAGACTCAGAGCTAGACAGAGAGACAGAGCCTGTTCTTTATCAAGGAGTTTCTCTCCAAGGCACAAGCTGTGGAATCAAATCCTCCTGCTCTGGGACTTGGTACTCATACATTTGAAATTAGGAATTTCATTCATTTTTATCAAGATCTTGGAATGGGGTAATAAAGTTAGGTCAATGAATAGCTCAGTACAATGTGGGCAATGTAATAAAGGTGAAAGCAATAAAAGGTGGAGCTGCCAGCCACGCTGCACCGGCGAGGCTCTTGAGAAGTAAAAGTAATTATCACCTGTGCAACCTGGCCGGCCTACTCCGTGTGAACAGAAGAAAACAATTTCAGAACTTTATTTCCTATATTGAATGTCGATAATTGGATGTATTTATAAGTCTCGCTGGAAGAAAACAGCTTGTGATTTGAGGATGAGAAAACAGTCTCTGAAACAGTAAAAAACAATATATTTCCCATTTTCACACACACAAAAAGAGCTTGTTTCTTCCAACGTTTCGAAGGTGCTGCTGGAATGATTTGCCTTTGCGAAGCCACCGTTCCATTTCTCATTCTGAATTGCCTCGTAGACCCTGGCAGCGCACACAGCAGGGACCACTTCATCTGAGGTGGTGACGGGGGCTTCCTAGGGAAGGCCCCTCGGCAGCTGTCAGCCTCTTTTCTGCAGGAAGACAGAAGCTCAGGTGGACTCGGTGGAGTGGGGGTAGGGGAAGGAGGAGTAGGATATAATATAGGGCTGGTGATGACAGGTGGGGTGTGGCCCTGGAGGACAAGAGCAGACCACGTTGGCCGCAGCATTGGGAGAGCTGGAGCTGCCACAGCTGCTGACACTGCAAAGGCCAAAGGCTGGGATCTGCCAACCAGTGATGGAAAGACAGCCACCTGGGCATGTCATGACTGTCACACCCATTCATTCCCAATCCAGGAACAGCTTGGGTTGGAATACCTATCTCTGCCACACACACATACCCCCATTCTTTTTTTTCAGTCTATTTGGCACTGGTTTTTTCTATCTAGTTTTCAATTCTCAGTAAAAGCAAACAAATAACCACAAAAATTCAAATGTCATCCGCTGTGGGGTTTTACCCTTTGAGGCTGGTGCCCAGGAAGCTGATTCCCTTTTTCTCCCTTGATGCTGGGAATTGAACCCAAGACTTCTGCATGTTAAGCACATGCTCTCCCACTGAGCAGCACCCTGAGCCCTGGTCCAGAGCCTCTTGCTGGATCGTTCTAGTCTCCCCTTCCAAGCCTGCTGAGCTCCTGTCCAAGAGATGGGCTTGGGTCCTGTGGCTTTTCTGCTCTGAACCTCAGTCATTCCCTACCAGTGAAATAGCAGGAAGCCTGCTCTTCCACCCCATGCACCCATAGTGGGCCCCTTGAGGACCATGTGAAGGCTTCTTTTTTTTTCATTTCACCACAGGCTGAAGATCCTGAGGGCGGGGTCTGAGTCCCTAGCCCTCATAACATGTTCCATCATAGCGTGGCACCATGGGTCACAGTTTGCAGCTGAGGGCAGAGACAGCATCCGGGCCACCTCCAGCATGGTCCTACAGACTTTCCAGCAGACCAGCATCTTCAACATATAGCAGAGGAGGAGTGGGGCCCACATCCTGGCTCTTCCAGGGGACACCCCTCAAAGGCCCAAGGGTGGCTCATGAGTCAAAGTCTGGCGTCCTGCCGTCTCCAGACAGCCAGTCATCTGCAGTGTCCATGGACTACAAGACAGGGAGGGGACGAGCGGAGCAGCCCAACATAGTGTCACAGAGACAAAGAAGGAGTTGTACCAGGATGAAGTAATGATGCTTAGGAGCACACACACCTCCAGACACCTCTCAGCCACCACGAGGGCAGGTGTGTTTCACGCAGGGCCTGTGACTTAGGAGGTAACCATGGTGCTCCGCTGTGAGGCATGAAGGTGCTGCCTGGCCCTCTCCCTCAGCTGATTTACACACTCCCACTCCGACTCTCTAAAATCAATCTCTGCCCAATTGCCTCCTGGCTCCCAGCAGCGTCCTGGGTCTGCCCTGCATGAGTAACTATGTAATTTCCCACACCCTGAGCGGCTTCTCCCAGAGCCCCTGCCAGAACTTCTGACAGACAGCAGGAGAGGGGGAGGGGGAAGTCCTGCTGCAGCCTCCAGCGGGGAGTCCTGAGGGGTGGGAGCGGGCCTGGAAGGGTGCTAGGATCTCTGGTGAGGAGGGGAGGTGGAGGAGCCTTGCCGGAGCCTCTGATGGGGCGGAGCGGGTGGTGAGGGAGTGGTGGAGAAGGCCTGCCCCAGCCTCTGAAGTGCAAGGGAAGGTTGGGGTGAGGGGTGCCACACTGACAGAGCTACTGGCAGGAGAGGCCTTGCCAATGAGGCCTATTGTCCAGATGGGCCTGTGTGCCCAGGAGGGCCTCCTTATTCCTGCCCACAGGCATGGGTGTTCCAGTCAGTGGGTGGGTGCTCTGCCCCTATTATTTTGTAAATATTTGGGGTAATTACTTCTTTTTCCGCATTAATGAGCACTCAGAACTCGCAGTTGCTTAATTTTGACACATTTTATACCAAAAGAAGCGGTGCTAAGGAAGGCTGTGATTATCTGGGGGCAGGTTTTCCTTCTGTAAAGTGGCATTAATAGCTTTCTGTGCACCCTTTGTTATTTTTTAAAAATGTCCTTATTAGGGAGTTGAGTCTCTTTGGCTGAAGGTGGAACTGCTGATAATGAGGAGGTCCAAAGTCCCAAGGATACACAGACCTGTGTGAAATATGGCACGTTACTTACTTCTCTGGGCCTCAGTTTCCTCATGTGTACGATGGAATCAAGGATAGGTCTTATCTCTCGGGGCTTTTGTGAGCTTTCTATGAGCTCACTTTCGCGAAGATTTGGCCAGTATCTGTAAATGTTCTAATCTGTTGGCAGTAGGGAAGGCATCTTTTTTTTCTTTTTTTTTCTTTTCCTGATTCCCCCTTCTCTGTAGGGCCCTGAACCAACATCAGAGCCCACTGGGCAAAGAAGCAAGCCCCCTTGAACTCCACCCCAGGCCTTCTCTCTGGCCTCCCTCCAGGTTCTTCCACATTCTGCACTTAGGGGACTTGGAAAATATCTTACCAGACCCAAGTGGGGCTGTATCTCTCTCCCCACACTCCGGGACGCTGAAGGTTTCAGTGGCCCCAGCCTTTGCTCAAGCCCTGGCCTTTGCTCAAGTCTACCTCCTCTCCTCCCCGACGGTTTCTTTATGACTGTGTTCTTCCCGAGGGTGGGCTGGGACGCCTGCTCGGCAGCTGACCCAGAATCAAGGGGTTCACTGCCTCAGGACACTCCCACCCACCTCGAAAAGGAGTGGGGCGCGGCTCCCTGCTCGCCTCGCCTCTCGACTGCACCTAGGGGCTTTCCAGCAAGGATCCCCGCAGCCCTCTGAGCTCGGCTGGGTCTAGTCTCGCAAAGCTGGGAGCTGAAGGGGGCGGGGCAGAGGTCCCTGGCCCCGCCCCAAACACACCCTCTATGGCCGCGCCCCCTTCAGTGGGACGCTGCTGAGCTTCAGCTGACGCTGCACTTCACGTGACTGCTCACCGGGTGAACATGGCGTCCTCCGCGCGGTGAGTGCTGCCCTTCCCTCTCGCTCTTGCCCGCCTGTGCGGAGAGCGGACCTCGGTCTTCCTGGCTGGACCGTGGGTCTGAGGCCCCGGGCTCTCGCTGGGCTCGCTGTGTAGCCGAGGGCAGTGCGCTGCTTCCTGAGCGCAGAGCGGCGAGGTGTGCCCTCCAAGCCAGGGCCAGCGCTGGCGCTGAAACCTGCCCTCCGCCCACTGGCCCTTGGGGGAACCCTGGGTCCCGCGCCTCACCTGTGAGCTTGCGGCGGCCGCAGTGTAGGGCTCAGGTGGGCATGCGTGATCACTGCCACGCCCCTCCGAGAGGACGGTGGCAAGCACAGGGCGCCAGACCCCCAGGCGTTTCCCCAGAGGGAGCAACGTTTGAGGTGGGCGTGGAGTTCCTTTTTTCCAGAGGGACACTGCCCCAGTTTCTTCAGGACCCAAACATCAGCTCCTCAGAGAAGCCTTCCCTAACTACCTATCACACTTTCTGTAGCCTTTACTACCTGGTAAACTATGGGGTATATTCATTTGTACTTGTCTTTTAGAAGGAGAAGGCAGGGCCTTAGTGCAGCACCCTGCACACGGTAGGTGCTCCCTAATACTGTATTGCAGAGTGAAGGAAGAGTGGATGGTCTCTGTGACAGGAAGGACTGTGGACCGATGGTTCATCCACGTATTGGGGAGAATATGCCAGACGAGGGAATCCAAGCAGAGCAAAGGTTAAGAGATAAAGACTGAGAATTCAGACTGTCCTTGAGATAGGAAAGAGAAAGGTGCATTGTGTCTCAGGTGGCCTCTCAGACTTTGTCCAGAAGGGTTAGAAGACAACCTGCTTGGATCTGCTTTTGAAAGAGCTTACTCCCTTGGACCAAGTTTAGTGGGAGGGAGTATTGGCGTGCTCTGCAGGGCACCAGGAAAGGTAGGAATACGAGGGAGTAGCACCCCAGTATCAGGTTGGGAACTGAAATCAGAATGGAAAAACTGGTGAACTGAATGCATCTTTTTGGGCAGTGCAATTGAATGCAGCAAAGTAGGTTCTCAGTTAATCCTCTAGTTTGGGAGAACTTCGAATGTGTAAATCAAGCATCTATTGGGCACCTCCAGGGACAGTATCAGGCCTACTCATAGATGTTCACAGGCCACAGAGGTAGATGGACACACGAGTCTCTGTCATCTGTCTGTTTCTGGTCTTGGTGTGTGCTGGGGGGGATATAGGCTCTAAGGTCATGGTGAAGTGTGGGAAGACTTCATTCCCTGGATGGTCTTTGTGCTAGACCTTAAGCAGTGAGACACATTTTAGGTAGAGAACTTTGCGAAGTTCCAATTGGATGGCAAGGATCTCAGGGTCAGAACTATGAACCCAGACTATGGCTCTATCTTAAGGAGCAGAGCAAGAAATAGGTGTGGGGTTGGTATCTGGTATGGGTCTGTTATCTCTCTATCTGAACTGGCCAGGTGGTCATAGGGAGTTTTGGGGGCTGCACTTGGATCAGAACTTCAGGCTGGTCTAAGGCCTGCTCCTTCTTGGAAGTGTACAGACCAAGCTGGTGATTTAGATCTGGACTGAGGGTTCTTAGAGCAGAGCTAGTTCTCTGGATCATCACATGAAACAGTGAGATGGAGGTTTTGGAGAGCTGCTGTATTGGAAGGAAGACCTGGCAGGTGTGTGGTGCTTCCAGAGCTGTCCCAGGCCTCCTGTTATAGGGCTTCCCTCAGAGACTTAAAGCCTGAGCGTAAGCCAGAGCCCAATGGCTTCCTTATTGAGAGGAGGTGTGAATGTGTTCCCGGCAAAGATTGGCCCCAGCAGCAGCACTCACAGAGAAGATCAGTGTGTCATTCATAATAAACCATCTTGTCCTGGCCACAGGCTCCCAGGGAGTTGGATTTGGTTACCTACAGGATCCTACCAGAATGTGCAATAGGGGAGGTACTGCGTGATTGGTGCTTGGTGAAATGGTGCCACGCAAGTGAAAGAGGCACTTGTTGTAATCCTATATCCTGTCCTGCTTTCCTAGGTAACCCTCACTGACTGAGGAAACAAGATGTGGGTGGGAAGGGGACAGGATTCCAAGGAGGAATAGGAAGAAGTAGCTCTAATTCTTTACCTGCGTGGTGCCCAGGGAGCTGTTGTGAACTTAGCAAGCAGGTGAGCTGCCCTGGGTGTATATGTGTTGGGCAGTGGGCCAGGCCAGAGTCAGCATTCTTCTGGAGAGAAAGTGTCTGAAGGAGTCAAATTCTTGGCCAAAAGCCCATCCTTCCCTGATGTCAACCTGTGCTCCTGAGCAAAGGCCTCATGCTGACCCTTGAGGGATAAGGGAGTGGTAGGAGTGGATGGGTCTGTGGGAGCCAGGCTGACTCTTCCCCAGGCCCAATCCTGACTCTGTCTGACTCTTGGTCCCAGTGTGTATTGGCCCACTGATCTTCTTCAAGAGAGAGGGAGATGAGGTGGGGGGGATGCTGACCACCTGCATTCAGACCCTCTCTGGCCAAGGTGACCTGCCTGGCCTTAGACAGTCAGGTAACCATTGGGCTGCCTGACCATCTCCTCAATACCTGGCCCTGTGCTGTAGGCTGAGAGTAGGAAAGCAGCCTTTATTGCTGGGTGCTTAACAGTGTGGCCCTATCTAGAAGTGACTTCACATTCTAGTGCAGGGATCTTGCTCTTATCTGTGCTGTGGGCCCCATGGGCATCAGTAAAAACTATGCAGTTGTCTTAGTACATTTTGTGTTGCTGTAAAAAATATTTGAGACTGGAAACTTCATAAAGAAAAGACTTTTATTTTGGTCACAGTTTTAGAAGCTTGACCAGCTGACTGCATTTATTGAGGGCTTCATGATTCTTCATAATGTGGCACATAGCATCACATTGGGGACCATCCTCCAGCACATGAACTGTTGGAGACAAATCATATCCAAACTATAGCAGCACCCTTTTTGGCTTATCATCATTATTATCATTATTATTATTTGTGGTACTAGGGATCAAACCCAGGCCTTTGCACTGAGCTACATCCCCAGCACTTTTTCTAATTTTTTTTTCCTAGCGGGTTTTACTAAGTTGCTAAGTTTCCCAGGCGGGGCTCTAACTTGTGATCCACTTGCCTCCCAGAGTGCTGGGATTGCAGGCTGGCTAGTATAACACTTTTAAATACAGGAAATAAATAACAGGATTATAAGAAAAACCAGTTATATGTAAGTATATTTATCGCAATATTAAATAAACTTGTGATATAGTGATATATGTTTCTTTATTAACACTTTAAATAATAAAAATTAGCAGAACATTTAGTAACCTCCTTAATTTCGAAAAAGTGATGAACAAAAGTGATAGCCTGAGATACTGTGACAGCAGTATTGTGAAATGAAAGTACCTGTGATTTCTGTAGTTGATAGACTCACACGCATTGCTGGTACTGAGTTGTTTACCTTAATAATTGAAAAAATGTAAATTTGAATTAGAAGTTGAAGAAAGTAAAGATACATATTTTTCTCATCTGAAAAGATGAAGCCTCTAAATTCTATGCAAGAATCCTCACAGATCTATGGGTCTTAGGTCAGAACACTGCAGGGGGCTGCTGAGGAGAGTAGAGAAGGTGGCGCTGACACAGGGCCAGGTTGTGTGTGCTAGGGTTGAGTTTCAGGGGCAGTGGTGTCACAACTTCCCTAGGGGCTGACACCATGTTAAGTTACTCTGCTCTTTGGTCTTCACCCTTGTGATTGGTGAGGGAGGGCTGCTCCTGGGGGTTCTGTGGTTTTCTTTGAGGCCTTGGAGCTATTGATCCACCAGCCTGTATTACTCCTCTTGGACATGCTTCTGCCCTTAGGTGCTTGCAATAAAGTGTACCTTTTTTGCCCTGGGATTCAGAGATGGCATGACTTGTACAGTGGACCCATGAGTTATGACTGGGCTTACATAGAGACTCTCAACTTGGCTTACAACCGGAATTTATGTTTAACTTACAACCAAAGTCTTGATGAATGCCAGGCTGCTTGTGTAGTTGTAAACAAAGACTCACGATGTAAAAAAAACTTATGTAAGCATCAGTCTGACCCTAGATGCTCATGTTTGTGGACATGGTTTTGGTCAGTGCTTTATATAAACACTATGATTACTGTTATCAAAATGGCCCCACAAAAGCTAGAAAAGAAGCTAAGGAAGGAAGGGTGGGTAAAGATAGCAATCACAATTGAAAAGAAGAAAGAAATTGTGGAGAAATATGAAAGTAGCATTCACAGGACCAGTCTCACTAATATGTACTGCATGTTGAAATCCACCGTCTCAATAATCTATAGAGAAAAGATCTGCATATGGAAGCTAGTGTTGCTAAAAGTGTTACTCAAATTAGTAAGTCACAGTCAACAGTGCTAGATGAGGTAGAAAGGCTATTATTAGTATAAATAACGGAAAGACAGATGGCAGGTTATAGTCTGTCTGAGTTTATAATTTGTGAAAAAGCCAGAGCTATAAATGCAGATTTCATAAAAGATAGTCCATCAGTGAGTGATAATGTTGAAACATTTCATGCTAGTTAGGGGTGGTTTCACAATTTTAAATTGAGAACTGGGTTGACAGCGTAACTAGGCTTGGTGAAACAGCCAATGCTGTTAAAACGGCTGCTGAAAATTATATACACTCCTTTGAAATGATGACACAGAGAAATGGCTTTTGCTTTCACTAAGTTCTCTTCCTTTTCTGGAAGAAAATGCCCAGGAGAACATACATTACCCAAGAACAGAAGAAAATGCCAGCCCACTGGCATAAGAAAAAGCCTATGAAAGACAGGCTAACCTTAATGGTATATGCCAGTGTAAATGTTGATCTCAAGATAAAGCCTGTCTTTGTTTATCACCCTGAGACTCCTAGAGTGTTCAGAAAACAAAGTCATGAAGAATAGGGGTCATACGGAGATCTAACGCAAAAGCGTGAGTAATAAGAGTACTTCTTGAGTAGATCAGGGAGGCTTTCTGTCCTATTGTTAAGAACTATCTAGAGGACAAAGGTTTATCACTCAAAGCTTTCCTCATCATGGACAATGTTGCTGCTGACCCACAAGATTTGGAAGAATTAGCTGATGAATTTCCATGGCTCTCAATCGAGTTCCTCCCACCTAATACAGCTCCTCTACTGCAGCCTGTGGACCAGCAGGATATAGCTAACTTTAGGAAGCCGTACACCAAAGAACTGCTCTAGATGGTCTCAGATAAGATTTAACCCTTAAGAGTTCTGGAGGGACTATTACAACATCCTTTCCTGTGTGGGGTTAAATGAGAAATACTGGGCCAGTGTCTCTCTGGGGATATGAGAGCTGCCTGGAAGAAAGTGTGGCCTAAAATTATATAGGGGAGAGACTTTGAAGGCTGTGTAGAGGAGCCTGAGCCTTCAGTTGACTGTGTGGTTGATGACATTGTCACTATAGCAGAGTCCATAACCTTGCAAGTAGACAGTGGTGATATTGAGGAACTGGTGGAGGAACACTCAGAGGAATTGTTTACAGAGGAACTTCAGCAACTTTTGGCTGAGCAACAGGATGGAAGCTGAGGAGCTTTCTGAAGTGAGGGTATCAACAATCAGTGCAGCAAAGTTCTTCTAAAATAAAGGACGTCCTGAAAAATTGGCCAGAGCTATGAACATTTGTAGAGAAGACTCACCCAGACAGAGAAAAAGCCAATTATTGCATTCACTTGCTTAATGACAATGTCATATCATACTACAGAACAGTGTTACAGAAAAGGTAGAAACAGACAACCTTAGACTAGTTTTTAGTTCTGAAAAGGCTGAGACCTAGTGAGCCTGAAACAGGTCCTAGGGGGCTACAGACTCTTCCAAAGAGAAAAAGAACACCAAAGAGCCAGATTCCTGATGTTCTTAAGGAAGGGGACTCTCCTTCCAAAGAGTAACCATCTTCCATTCCATCCTCTCTTCCTGCAAGCCAAAGGTGTCAACTTGAATGGTAGGGACAGTATGAAATTGTTGTTTCTGGTAAACTAGGAACATTATATAACTTTTTGGTGAATACACTAGGAAAATTATGTTTCTGGTAAATTACACACATTATACAACGCTTTTTATTATGAAAAGATTAAAGTTATCTTTGGGAGGTTCAGAATACATTATGGGTATTTCCATGATTTCTTGTGGGAAAAATAGTCTTGACTTACAACCAACTTGAGTTACAACTAGCCCTTGCAAATGAATTACGTTTGTAAGTCAGGGGTCCACTGTACCTTTTAAATTCTGGGAGCCAGTTACAAAAGCACCAGCAAAACCCACCAGTTGGAGATACTGTATTTTATTGGTGTACTTTTGCTGAATTTGAAGGTAGAAATTACCTTCCTTGGTTCTGGACCTGTCTTCTGGGGGGTTTGGTTTATGCTATGCACAATCAAAGGTCATGTCTCTATAGACCTTGATTTGTGGTGTCCTGAAATAAATGAATGGCTGCAGAACATCAGGCCCAGTGCCTACCCCAGGGCAGGGTGGGCTGTGTTCTGCCTAAGTCCTGCACGAGGAGTAAATACCATCACCCATCAGTGTCCAAGGACCCCTCAGATACCCCAATGCACAGGTATTCATATCCCTTACTTATAATGGCCAGGCGGCCCCAGTCTGTGTGCTGTAAGGGATTTAGGCCTCTTGGGAAGCTTTGGACAAGAGGCTCCGCCCTTCCAGGTATGTTGCTATGAACCAGATAGAGGCAGCAGTTGCTGTACTTATGGTGGGAGGCTGGTCAGGGGGGAATGGGGAGGGGGAGAGATGAGGTGACCCAGATTGGGCAGTTTAGCCAGTGGTGCTCTTGGGTGACTGGCTGGGGCCCCCGTGTCATTGCCTCTGTGCAGATGGTGAATCCATAGAGACCAGTTTCTTTCCCTGCCCCCATAGGCTTTACCATGTGAGGGGAAAGGCTTAGGGAGGCCTTGGAAGACCCTGGGCATGGCTGCTGGCAGTTGCACTTTCAGTTCCTGCCCTCAGACCCAGGCTGGGGGCAGTCATGTTTACAGGCTGTCACCAAGTTCTTGCTGCCCTCTCATCCTTGTGGTGAGTGTGGCAGATAAGCAGCTTTGGCAGCTTGGGCCCACCCAACAATCTGCTCACCCTCCTAGGAAGAAGGGCACGTGCCTGGAAAGGGGAAGTGAAACTCTAGCCCCCTGTCAGTGTGAGGTGTTCCTGACCCCTCCACCCTTCCTGGCCAGCAGGGGCTGGAGGGTCCACTTCCTACCCCTGGAGCTGATGCGGCACCTTCTGATCCGCACAGCTGGGAGTGCCACCCATGTGTTGACTGTGACAGTTGTTTACTCAGCAGATACTTATTGAGGGCTTGTTGTATGTCAAATACAATGCTGGGTACAGGATGCAACAGTGACCAAAGCAGACCCAGTCGAGTGGGTGGAGACCACAGTACCACGAAGAACATGCTACATTTAGGTTAGAGATGAGCATACCCCTTCACTAGATGGTCTGAGTCCAGGAGTTCACTCAGGGGTGACAGAAGAGAGTTTAATGCAGGGATGGTTCACAGAACTGGGGGCGGGTTTTAGGAACCTGGGGAAAAGGAGGGAAACCAGCTGCTCAAGATCTCAGGAAGGGCTGCATGGTGTCCAGGGTGGCCTAGGTAGAGATGTGGCCCAGTGTAGAGGGACTGCACAACAGCAGGAGGAGAGAATTGCAAGTTCAAAGAGGAAAGCCCGGGAAGACCATCCTTAGAAGGCTGCTGGGGGACAAGCTGTACGGGGCCAAGACGTGCTCATGTGCCACTGCTACAAGAGCCAGGTCCTTTGAGGGTCCCATGCAAGGTGCCGCAGGGCCTCCTCATGCCTGTGGTGCTGTGAGGGATGGCGTTACCGCAGTCCCCAGGCAGAGCCCTCTCTTCCGGCTCTGGGCTGTCCCTGTCCTCCTTGGGCTCCATGCTCTGTCCCTGGCCAGCTCCTGGCTGCATACTTTGCTTTCCAGCTGGCTTGCAGGGACTGCTCTTCCTTCCTCCCTTGGGTCAATCCTTCAACAGATATCTAAATCTGCTTTTTTCTTGTCTTTGTGGAACTTAAATTCTGCCTGAAGAAACAGCGACCAAATAATAAGTAAGTTAAATACTGATGAGTCCTCTAGAGAGAATTGAGGAGAGTAAGGGGCTGAGAAGTGAGGAGAGCAGGGTTCCAAGAAAAGCTGCTCTGGGAGGAAGGAAGCATTTTTGCAGAGGTGTGTGTGGAGGATAAGCCGCTTGGGGACACCTTCAGGAAGAATGTGCCCTCAGGCACCAACAGCAGCCGAGGCCCGAGCTTTCTTGGTGTCTGGGGAAGGTGGAAAATGCCCATGCTGCAGTGGAGGAAACCGAGGAACACCAGGGAGGCCTGGCCTCTCAGCATGTGCGGGCTGGGGAGTGAGTATGTGAGGAAGCCAGTGAGGATGGGGAACTTGGGACCCAGACAACACCTGAGAGTTTCTTGAAATTGTCCAGGTGAGAGGTGGCGACCAGCCGGGCCGTTCTGGGGCAAGGAGTCAGATTTTGGGGGTGGTCACGGCCGATGGCCTTCCTAATGATAGAGAGAGGGAGGGGGAGACAGACAACCAACACGTAACACACAGATGGCTAGAGCAGCCATCGCGGCTCGGTGCCTTTGTGGTGGCACAAGGGAATACATTTGGGTCTGTGTTGTGCCCCCTGCGTCTGAGGTGACAGGTCTGACAGGTGCTGTCAGGGAGCCAGGGAATCAGTGCATCTGAGGGGGATGCTGTCAGTCGAGGCATGGATGGGGCCCAGCTATGTTGAAGGAGGGAGCCTGGTTGGGGGAGGTCTCAGTACCCAGGCCTGGGGCTCCAGAGAGGAGGGAGACTAAGGATGGAGGAGCTGGTGTTGGGTCTGGTTCAGCATAAAGTAGCCCCAGTGTTATGGGCAGAGAAAGGCTGAGTGAGGACTGGGGCCCACAACAGATGCAGCAGCATGAGATTGTGTGTGTGTGTGTGTGTGTGTGTGTGTGTGTGTGAGAGAGAGAGAGAGACAGACAGACAGACAGAGACACCAACTGCATGTGTGGTGCGGAGGGGCTGGACATGCAGAGGACTCATAGTGGTGGACAGCCTGGATAGTCAGGCCAAGGAGTTGAGGTTCCTGTGTGTCTGGTTTGTGAGAATGCCCCGGAGAGAGAGCAGTTCCTTCTGGACCAATGTCCAGCTAGGCATGGGGCTGGGACAGGCCACACACAAGTGAAGGAGAAGCCCCAGGTGGGTCCAAATGGGGAGTTTGGGGAGTGGGTGTGGGACGTGTCTTCTCAGTGACCAGGGAAGCCAGAGGTATAGGCGCCTACAGAGGGACAGCTCCTACTCTGCCAGGCCAGGCCCCACCCAGCCACAGGTAATGCTCTGCTTGTTGTCCTCCAGATGTGCCCCCTGTGGCTGCTGTACACAGGGCCATCTTGCCATCATCATTTCCCATGAGTCACTCAGCTCAGGGTGCTCTGTGCGTATGTGCGTGTGTGCGTGTGTAGGGGTGATATTGTTGAGGGCTGGGACAGTCCAGGCTGTGAGGTCAGTGACTTGTAGGGAAGGGGACAGAATGCACGGTGCATGGTGGGGAGCCAATGTTGTCTGGGTCAGATCTTGTGTTTCTGGTCAGCCCCACCTCCTGGGAAGCTGGGCGTGAGCTCCTGGAGGGTGACAGTTGAGTGGCATCTCTAACTACTGTAGGTTTTCCGTCCACGGGCCTCCAGCTGTCCTTCATTCTGTTGGTGGACCAAGCGCTCAGGGACACAGCAGGGCGGGATGTGGATGACAAGCCCCTGTAGTTGTCCCGCAGCCCAGTGAGCGGCTGTCTCGGGGTCACAAATAGGTGGAACTCTGGCCAGCTTGCCGTGTGTGGATGGGAGTCCACCAGGGGGCCAGACCATGGGTGGTGGATGCACATGGAAGTGCTAAGAAGCCTACATAGGAGAATGTGCTCTTGTCTTTGCAGTCCTTCCTTTTCTCTGGGGAATGAGACTTTGCAGGTGCCGCTGGCCCTCTTCGCCCTGAATAGGCGACGCCTGTGTGAACGACTGCGAAAGAACGCGGCTGTGCAGGCTGGTTCGGTGGTGGTACTGCAGGGTGGCGAGGAGACGCAGCGCTACTGCACTGACACCTCAGTCATCTTCCGCCAGGTGAGCTGCTCCTGGCCTTTCGTGGGCCTGTCTGTCTCCAGCACCAGGCTAGGTGGTATCAGGTAGTGGATGTCTCTGAAAGGTCCTGGAGGGGTCCCATGGAGGCAGTGGGGGGCCAGGGAGCTCATACTCAGTGGTGTTAGTGAGGTGTCAGCAGCAGCTAGGGGCAGAGCTGTCACCAGCCCAGCTCAGCTCTCTTAGGTCAAGGTACAGAAAGATGATGTTCCTGGGGAGCAGGTTGGCAAGGCTTCGTGGAGGAGGCAACATTCAGCCTGGGACCTTAGGCCAAGATAAGTTCAGACAGCTGGGAGGACGGCGTGCATAGGAGTGGAGGTATAGCAGCCAGGGAACAGCAGAGGGTCAAGTACAGGTAGGGATGAGTTCCTGGAGCCAGAGTCTGTCTGCAGTGAGGAGGACCTGGGGAAGGCATGAGACTGGGCTGATTATTTAAGCAGGAGTCAGAGGCCCAGCGCTCCATCCTGGCTTGGCTACTGCTGACCCTTATAATCCTCCTTAGGCTCAATTCCTTCCTTGGGAAGTGGTCCAGGGGCTCCTTGAGATTCTGGACCAAAGGCTAGATGTGGAACCCTTGGCTGAGAACCTGTGGTAATGCTCAATCCCCAGAAACAAGGACACGACCAGGACGCCAGGTGGCCTGGAGCTGGGCACACTCCTGTTGATCCTAGCATTGCATTTACTTTACAGATGAGGAAACTGAGGCCCAGAGGGGAAACAGCCTTCTAAGAGGTGGAGCTGGTGTTAGAATCCCATTTCTGACTCCATGGCCAGTGCATTTTCTTCCCACTGCTATGCTCAGAGCTGTGGCCTGGGAGCTTCAGAACCTCCCCGGGGCAGATGGCATCTAGGGGACGTGGCTGTCTAGTGTCTGCATCAGGGGTGGGGCAGGAGTGTGGGCAGGGGAGGAGGTGGTGAGACCTGGTCCCTAGCTGGATCCTGGCCACCACAGTAGGGAGGGTGCAGATAGGCTGAGATCTGCTGCCCAGAGCCATTGCAAAGGGTTTTGTACGGAAAGCTCCAGCCTGAAGGGCTCCTTCCCTCTGCCCCATTGTTCTTGTAGCTCTGTGTCTGCAATCCCTGGCTGCCAGTGGTATGGAAGCCTAAAGTTTTCTCTGACTAGTCTTGCCTCCTCTTGAGGTTTATGTATTTTTGTTAGAAACCAATGTCCTAGCTGGGTTTGGTACCACAAGCCAATTACTGTCCCAGCACTCTGGGAGGCCAAAGCAGGAGGAGCTCGTGTTTAAGCCCAACCTGAGCAACTTCGTGAGACCCTGTCTCAAAATAAAAAAATAAAAGAATGGCTGTGAATGTAGCTCATTGCAAAGACCCTGTACGGATCCCCAGTTTGGTTCAGTCCTCAGTAACACAAACAACAATCCCAAATTCAGCCATAGACTCCCTTCCTGGTATATGCCAGGTTGGTCCCAGCAGAGCTCCTCCACTTCACACCCAGGTGATATGTTTAGCTCAGCGACATTCTCAGCTCTCCTGGGGTAGGAGAGGAAGTAAAAAATTACCCCTAACTGGGGTAATCCATTGAACTGGAGCTGTGGTGCTTTGGGTTGCTGTGTCCCAGGGAGTCCAGGCCTGGGCCTGAGGATTGTGGGTACAGGAGGACTGCAGCATACATGCAGATCACCCCTGCCAAGCTGACAGGGCAAGATGGTGTAGCTGCAGCTGGAAGGGCTGTGTGGGACTGAGGGCCAGTTTCTGAGAGGAACAGGGCCCAAGCTCTTCTCTGGAAAGGAAGCACTCAGATTGCTGCTCACCTCCCCCTCGAGCCTCGTGTTTCGGCTCACTGGTGACGAGCCTCCTTGTTCCCCCATAGGAGTCCTTCTTCCACTGGGCATTCGGTGTCCTTGAGTCAGGCTGCTATGGCACCATTGATGTTGATACCGGCAAGTCGACCCTGTTTGTGCCCAGGCTTCCTGACAGCTATGCTACCTGGATGGGAAAGTAAGGAGCAGTCGCTGCATCATTACTGTGGCTGCCGACCACTGGCCGGCTGGGGTCGCAGGGCCGGGGTGGGAGTTTGGGGCCTGGCCTGCGGGTGGCTACAGGCACGGAGGCAGAAGGGCGGGTTGGTGGTCGGGCCCTTTGCCAGCTCCTGAGTTGGGAAAGAGCGCAGATTGGAGGCACAGTTTGCAGATCCTGATATTGAAGTTTCCAGTTGAGTTAAAATGCCTGAGTCCAGGAACTGGCCACTTCCCCTTGGCCTCAGTTGGAATGGGCCCACATGTATCCTTGTGGTAGATTTGGCTGGGATTAGGCCGAGCAGTGTGGGGGCCTCTCTCGGAGCTCTGCCACTTATATGCAGGGCATTAGTTAAGTCATGCCTGTCTGTGGCACAGATGAGCCTGTCTGTGAGATGGGTAGAAGCTTTGGACTGTGCTTTGTGACGGGTGTGAGTCTGGAGGCTGGGGCTGCCCCCCCAGCCCCCCATCCTCCTGCCTCATCCCCACCTCACTAGCTTGGGCCCTTCTGGGAGCCAGGGGCCATTCCTGCCCGCTCACAGGTGCTGAGGCAGCAGCTGCACTTAACCAGGGATGTTTGAGGTGATTGCAGGATCCCGCTAAATGCTCCCCATCTTCCAGCCTGTCATTTCTGCCTGGAGAGTGATTATTCTGAGCTAATGTGTAAATTGCAGCCTTCACTGCCTGGAGCCCCAGAAGGCTCATTACCAGGTGGGCTGGTGAATCTGTAGCTGGTTTGAATGACAAGGCGCCTGGCTGTTGCAGGGACTCTGGTCTCTTTTCAGAGGGCCAGAGCCCTGTAGAGATTCCCCAGACTCCCTCTGCTTCACCTGCCAGCCCTTCCTGCCCTTTCTCTCAGGTCCTTTCAGCACAGGGCCACAACATCCATTGTTGAGCCTGACTTATTGCTGGGGCTCTCAGGGTGCGGGGTCTAAGCCCATAGGTGCACATCAGTTCTGCTCTAAGGCCACTTGGCAGAATCCGGGCTTGGCCCTGGGCCTTCACCTTTGCTGGGAAGACTCTGTTTCAGGCAGAATTGGCAGCAGAAGAGAAGCGGCCTCTGTTTCTCCTGGGGAATGTTTCAGGCGTGGCCCTCAGGAGGGAGAGCGGGAAGTGGACATGCCCCATCTAGCTGGCCTTTGGAGGGAATGGCTGGGCTACCACTGAGAGGCCTCAGCTGATACTGCTTTCCTTCCTGGTGACCTTTATTGTCCACCTTTATTCCATCCCTGGCTGCCGTATTATAAGGAGGGGTCGCTCTGTAAGCATGGTGGTGTGACCAGCCTGGGCCCTGGTCTTACTGGAGCTGTGATTGGAAGGTGGGCTTCCCAGTGGTTCAGTGTGGCCTCCATGGGGCAGTCACAGGGCTCATGAGTGGCCCATGTACTGGGTAGGGCTCCCGTTCCTTCCTGTGAAACAGCGGTGACACTGTTGGTGAGGCACCGCTGGGGCTGTCGTTACAGTTGCGGTCACCGTGGGATGGTGACATTTGTGACGTTGCCATGAGGTGGCGATGATGCCGGGGGACAGATCCCAAAATTTAGAGATGGCTGCAGCAATGATTTTGGGCAGGGCTGTCACAAAGTGGAATTTGTTTTTCCTCCTGCTTGACTGTGGTCAGGACATCAGTGCATGGCTGTGGCAGTGTTGCTGTATGACTTCTGAGGCCAGAGCATGAAGGGCACTGTGGCTTCCACCTGATTCTCCCTGGGGGTGAATCACCTTGGACCCAGCTGCTCCACCATGAGGAAGCCCTGACTGGTAGCCAGCACCAGCCTCGAGCTCTCGTGAGCTTCCTGGTGGGCCCAAGGCTAGACTCCAGGCCCTAGATGTCATGGAACAGAGCTGAGCTCTACTCTCTGGACTCTGTTCTGATCTTTAGAGTCTATGACGTTGAGAAATGGTTTTCCCTCCATTGAGTGTCCATGTAGCCCTAGTAACTGGCACAACCTTTATAAAGAATTTAGATTTGGTTTCTGTAACAGAATCCTTTCTCCACCTTGATGAGGTCACATGAGCTGAGTTGTAGCTTCGGCCCTTGCCGTGAGTGGCATGTCTTGGGAGTACAGTAATTGGGGCCCTTGTGCTCAGTGGCCTCTGGCTGTGCATGGCACCTACAGTTTTGACCTGGCTGCCCTCTGCAGCCCCCTGTGGCTCAGCCTTCTGGCTCAGAGCTTGTTGAGATGTCTCACTGCTCAGAGAGCAGGTTCAGGAGTCATAGCAGATGCCTCCTGCTGTGAGTTATGGGGATGGACAGTGTAGAGGAACACAGCTTCAGGGAGGGTTTGATCAAGGTATCAGTGGCACCTCCCTTGCAGTTTCTCTCTGGTAGAGGGGTTTTGAGTTAATCTTCTCTTCTATTTTCTTTTATGAAGAGCTGGCTCTGACGAGAAATCAGAGAGTGCCTGCCCACGCATAGAGAGTGGACGTTCTGTGGGGCTGTGGGAGGAGGGGCCGCCTCAGAACCCCACCATGCAGTGGCTACACCTGAGTGAATGTCTTCCCACACCCACCATCTGGGGAGCCAAATGGCTCTTGACTTGAGGGTTGAAAACCCAGGACCTGATTGGTCAGGGACCAGCTGTTAGCAGTTGGCTTTTCTGGAGTGTACTCTTCACTGATACAGGAATAATATGCTGTGCCTTGGCCACAGCTGGGTTCCAGAGAGGCTATTAAAAGTTTCCTTTCATCGGCCCCTGCTTTGCCTTCCCAGCTCATCGTCTAGTGCAGATAAACAGCCTCGGCGACCTTGAGGGTGCAAAGTGGGCCCTGGTGGGAAAGGCTCCGCGTACGCACTCAGCAGGCCAGACCCGGCAGCTTCCGTCCTGAGCGAGGGTCCGGCCCCAGCGCTGAGATGGATCCTTGTCTTCTGCAGCCTTGGCGCCCTGTCGTGGCCACTCCCAGCAGCTCTTTCCCTTCCTCTGCTCTGGGGTGACCGTCGCCAAGCCCCCCTGTCCTGAGTCTTTAAAGGCACAGTTATAATGGGGCAGAGACAAAGGGGCTAGTTGTCCGGCGCAGGTTGGGAGGTGGCCAGATCTGATGTGTGTGGGTGCTTCCAGAGCCTCTGCTGATCAATAGGGCCCTGAGAGTGAGGCTGACGGGATTACCTGGCCTTTGCAATCAAAACCCACCAGACTGAACGTCTGACCTTCAGCTCCTCAGCTTCCTTCCGAGCCTGTATCTGATGGCTTTTGAAAATCCATCTGGCGGATACTGCAACCCAGAGTCACCCGGGGAAACAACGCCCCTGTCTGCAGGATCCTCCGCTTCCTGTGTAAACTGTCCAGCTGTCAGTGCTGCAGACACCCAGGGGGCCATTGGCAGCTTGATGCTGGCCTGTTCTCGTCCTAGCCCTTTTTGGAGCTCAAAGGTGGTAGCTTCTAATTCAATTTTATTTGGAGTCTTTGTTTGCAAAAATGTGATGCCCTTTGGATGTGAAAGTGCTTTCCATCGCGTCCCATCAGATCGAGCTTAGCCAGTTTTGGCTGCTGGGTATCTGGGGTCCTCAGAGCAGGTAGGAAATTTCCTGTGTGACTCAGTGCCCTGTGCAGCCTCAGAGCACGTAGAGGGTGAGTGATTTGGGGCTGAGGGGGAAACCCTCCCAGAACCTCTGCAGCTTCGCTGTGTGCTGCCCCCACCCTTGGCCAAACTCTAGAATGAGAACCAGTGTTCCTGGCCTAGGTTTGCAGGAAGGTGGTATTTGGTCTCCTGAGTGCAAGCTGCCCAGGAGGTACAGCAAGTGAATATCTCCAGGCCGAGAGCCTGAGGTTCTGGCCTGGCTCCTTTATCATGGGGTCCAATGTGGGGTGTGCATGAGTGGTGGGTTTGTGTGGTGGGATGTGTGTGCGGGTGTGGAGGGTGTATGTGGTATGATGTATAAGGGCTATTTTTGGCATGGGGGGATGTGTGGTGCGTAGCATGTGTGTCTGTGGGTTTTCACAGCACTGTCCCCCATGTACGTACACCGTGGGTCACAGGGACCAAGGCTTCCTCAGGCTCACTCTGGCTGCCTAGACTCCCTGTGCTGTTCGGCAGGGTGCGTGGGGCCCTCTTGAAGGGGCAGAGCCCTTCCTGAGAAGGGGCTGAGGGGGCTTCTTTGGCTCTTCCTAGGCAGCCCATACCAGATACCCTCCAGCACCTAATAATCTCTAGCTGTGCTCACCCTGGGGGCAGGCCTGTCTTGATTACTTCTTAGGCAGTAGCTGTCCCTCTGGTGGGCCTGTCTGAACCTGAGCGTCTCGGAGGAAGGGCTGCCACTTGCCCACAGGCGAGGTCTCCAGGACCAGGTGCCTGCATTCCTCTGGAGAGGGCCGCTTTCTCTTTGACAACCTAATGACATTCTGAAATGGTTGCCGACTTCCACTCCAGAGCAAGTGCCGCCGTGTTCTACTGTGAAGGGAGTGAAAGGCAGAGGCATTGTTTGGAGCTGAAGGCAGGCTCTGGCTGCTGGAAATTGATGGTGACTGCTGTAATTTGGCCCTATTACTTATTCATTAACTGTATGCAGGTGGTCAGCCAGCCGCCAAGAGTTGCTCTTTGAAATTTCATTTTCTAGAGGGCCCCATCCCATCTGCGTTGGGTGGCATTAATTTCATGTCTCCTTCCCACGTGAAGCCTCGCGCAGGGTGTTTGTGCTCCATGTACAGGAATCAGGCATCAGTTCTGATTCTGAACTTGAGCTCATGCCTGGGCCCAGCTCCTGGCACAGCAGGCCTGCTTGAGCCAGTGTCCCTGAACACAGAGCCCCTTAGGAGGATGAGATCCTGTCCAGTGAGGGGTCTTCTCTCTCCTATCAGAGCTGTCCCTTGCACCTAAATGGAGAGATTCTGGAATGGGGTGAGCTTTCTTCCTGACCTGTCCTCTCTGGGTCTGCTTTTTTTTATTCTGTCTTCCATATGGTGGAGCCTAGGATGAGCTGTACTTGCTGGACTCCAGACTCCAGATGGAGCGGGGTACAGATCCTCCAAGTGGCCACCCCTCTCCTGGCCATCCTGGCCCTTGGTGGGTTCAGCGTCACCCAGTGACCTCACCAGCCAGCTTGGCAGGACTGAGGTAGACATGAACCCTTCCAAGTCATGGCTGCCATGCCTTCTGTAGCTGATTTGAAGCAGCAGCCTGGCATGTATATCCCTTCGGGTGACATTTAAATGATTTTTACTTTAATTAACCCTAAAATATGAAAAAATAAGTACTATTCAAACTTAATTATCTCTGCCCTTTAAAAAAGAGTGAAATGTGCAGTGCAGACAAGATGCTTGCAGCTCTTCAGATTTTATCTGTCGGTTCTCCTGTTGAGAACCAGGTCTGTGGCTAGGGAGGTACTCTTTGGCCCTTGAGGCCCAGCTTGTACTCTGGCTGGGCTGTGCCCTTGACTTCAGTGAGGAGGGCAAGAGCCACCTGAGCAGAGGGCGCTGGGGGAGCAGGCAGCCAGTGTTTGAGCCCACGTCTTCTTGATTTGGGTAGAGCAGCAGGCTCCCGTGGGCTGGGTGGCCCTTGCCCCACCTTGGCTCCCATGGTCCCTTGCATGGCTATGGCCACCATATGAGAAGTGTCTTGGTGAGGACACAGCTCTGGGACCACCCACAGATCACAGCTCCCCTATATTCACCTCCCCTTTGCTGCCACCTCTTCTAATTGTTAAGCCCTTGACTTTGGGTGCACTGTCTGGAGACCTCCCCAGGCCTCTGGCCTGTTAACCATGACCTAACTAGCAAGACTCATCAGGCGGGAAGCGAAGGGAGGGAGACATTTCTTGATGGCTTCCCTCAGCAAGATGGGAAAGCTGGGAGGTTTGAGGCCCCCATAGAAGTGGAGGTGGGGCTGGGGATTTAGCTCAGCGGCACAGCGCCTGCCTGGCAAGCACGAGGTCATGAGTTCTATTCCCAGTACCGGAAAAAAACAAAAACAAACAAAAAAAGAAGTGGAGTTGACTGGTCCGATGTCCAGCTATATAGTGGCCAAAATACCTTCTGTAGGGGAACCATAGGAGCTGGTCTCAAAATCAGATCTTTTATAGTTCCCATATCTGTTGGGAGTTTGCTTTCCATACCTGTCACAACTGGAGGTGATGAAGTGACATGCACCAAAGCTAGGTTTGGGGACATGCTGATGACGTAGGCACCTGTCTGCATGGAGCTGGGACAGTCAAAGATGACATGGTGGGGGACACCCTGGAAAGCATTTTGGTGATGACCCTGCCTCTTGCTTTTCTGGCTCATGCTTCTGTGCTGTCTACAGGGTCAGGGTCCGGTCAGTGCTCAGAGTGTCACAGCTGAGCAGCTGAGGGTATACAAGCTCCCTGTAAGCCAGCCCTTCGGCTGAGAGCTCCAGAATCCAGGCAAGGCGCTTGTCATCTGCTTTTACCCTCAGCTAGTTGCAGCTGTGCTAATGGAGGTGTCAGACCTTGGCCACTTAACTTTTGAGTCCTGTCTCACATGTGGAAGCGAGTGTGACTGAATTGTGCAAATTTAATTAACGGTGGGAACTTGATACCTAGTGATCACTTCAGAGAGGCAGAAAACTCCAAGGGCATTGTGGGCTGCAGTGAATGGCTGATTGCAGAGACCTGAGTTCTTGGCTTGAGCTGAGTTCTCTAGCTGGTCCAGCTTACTTCGTGTGGCTGTGAGCTCTCTGCTGCTGGGCTACAGCCTACCCCTGTGCCCCAAGTCCCAAAGCTCTCTCCCTCCCCTCTTGCACCTGGGGCTCCCCAGGAACCCTTCTCATTTACATACCCTCCTTCAAGGGCTCAGGAAGCAGACTCTAAAAGCCATCTGCTCTGCTTTCTCTGAGGCCCTGTGGGATGTGACACCTGCTGATGACAAATGAGACCATAGGCATTCTGGGGGTGGGGAGCGGATGGGGGTAGCTACTCTTGTGAAGATGTGAAGGCCAGGTGTAGGATTGCACAGGATGGCGTGCACATGCGTCATTGGACTTGGCTGGTAACAGCCTGTCCCCGTACAGTCAGTATGTTCCTCTGTATGTAAGTTCCATTACCAGCAGTGACATTGACTCATCTGCTGACTGGGAGCCTGGGGGTGGGGGTGGTGGCATGCTGGTCCCAAGCTGGAGGCCTGCCCAGTGTAGCTGTGACCCAAGGTCCCACCAGCCTCATTCACGCTGTCTCTTCTCCCTGGCTGGTTTTTCAGGATTGATGAGTAGGCTTGAGTTTTTCTAATCACGTTGAGTAATACTGATACTGACTTAGTTAAAATGTTAATTTGTTATCTTTCTTTTGAAGAGATTCCATGCGAGACTGGAGGCAGCTTGTTTTGTGCCCCAAAGGGTGGGGCCCATTGGCTGCTGCCTTTGAACTCTCTAGTATAGAGGGGAATGGTGGTGCAGGCAGCCTTGTCTTCCTCTGCCTGCTCCAGACAGCCAGGGGCACAGAAGAAGGAAGCCAGCTGCTATGAGGTTATGAAGGGAAGCAGGTGTGAGTGCGTGGTCACTCTATGTCCCAGTGTCCTTTGAGTTTGAGTCTGCTGGACAGACCCAACTTGGTGCTAGGTGCCCACTGTGATAGGGTTGGGTGTGGAGCTGTGGGATTTGCACTTGGTGGGCAGGACGATGCCCATACCAAGGCTTGACCTTGGCATTCCTTGTGCTTCCTTTTGAGGATCCATTCCAAGGAGCACTTCAAGAACAAATATGCTGTGGATGATGTCCAGTACACAGATGAGGTAAGCGGCTGACGCCTCCTGTCTGAGCAGCGCTGGGTTACCAGTAACTCTTCCACTTCAGGACTTCCTCTCCTCCCACTGCCACAGCCCAGGGACCCTGCCTCTTGGCTGTCCGCCCTGCTGGAGCACCCCTGTTTAGAAAGAGCAACTCATATCTCTCCAGGCTGAGGAAGCTAGTCTTGGACTGGGCAGTGCGCCTGGCTCAAGTGAAGCATCTGGTGACCTGGATTTTGGCCACTGAGATGCACCAGAGGAGGACATCTCTGAGAGTTAGCCTCCTGCAGTGGGAACAGAGTTGTACCTGGGCTTGACCTGGGCCTCCCCACAGGCGCTCTCCAACTTCAGGGGCCACTATTAAAGGAGCCCAGGGCTGGGGAAGATTGGTGGGGTCAGCTGAAGTTAGGGCAGGGCTCAACCAGGAGTCCCATAGTTTTAGTAAACAAATGAGCAAGACCCCCAACACTACAGCATGGCCTAGCACACAGAATGCCCCTCTGCTCTGTCCCTGGGTACTGTCACAGCCCCTGTATGCTTTGTAAGTCTGTGCTGGATAGAATGGGAAACAGACAGAAATCAGTGACAGTCACTGGAGGTCCAACCCAGACCTGGCAGGACCAGCTGGATGGGGTCCCTGTGGCTACATTTCCCCAGACATGACCCATATGTGGATACATGCTAAGAGCTGGAGCTACAATGTGAAGTGGCCAGGAGAGGCCAAGCAGCTCCCTCTTACCCTGGGGCAAGACACAGGCTGTGTCAGGGGATGACAACACCAGGTAAGAAGCAGGTTCCCGGGATCCTGGCCAGGTACATGGCACTGTGAGGAACCGGTCTCTCTCCTCGCACTGTTGGGGCCCTGCCTGGGCCTGCCTGCTTGAGGATGGACAGTGGTCCTTGACCCCGTAGACGCCGGCCTCAGCAGCACCCTGTGCATAGGCCGGCCCGGTCCTGTCTCCAGTTTTGCAGTTCTGGAATGCCACTTCCATTTCTCTGACTGTTCACATCTCCACTGAGCCTCCCCTGAACTCTAGGGCCATGCTGACATCTCCACCCTGCCCTGTCGTTTCACATTCTTCTTGCAGTGCCTTTGCCCAGTCCTAGGGACACTCAGGGCATCAGAGGCAGTTGAAACCTCGGACTCCACCCAGCAGTCCAGCACAGGAAGTAACTGCATAGGCGAATAGTCACTGAAGCATAGTGGGACCTCATCAGGGCTCCCCAGGAGCACCTCATTGAAGAACTTCTCTCTTCCTCAAGCCTTGAAGGCCTGTGTCTGCAGCACCTTCTACCCCATTGGATCATGGAGAGGGAAATAGCTTCTGATGACTTCTTCTGTTAGGGACAGGGGTCTGCAGACGAGAAAGTACAATAGGGACCACCTTAAGTCATCTAGCTAATCCTGACTAGAAGGAGTTAAAAACAAACTTTACTAGAGAGATTCCCCTGGGAAGCAATTCAAGGACAGGGGTAGAGAGAGAAAAACCAGATAAAGAAAGGCACCAGATGACCTTAGGACTTGCACCAAGAGACCAGAAAAACAGCTGACTGGCAGGACACAGACGGAAAGCCAGGTATACAAATGATAAGCCGCCCCACCTCCAATAAAATACAGGAAAAACAAAGAGGAGGGCTGACTAATTTTAAGACAGTGTGTACTCACAGCTATGCACTAACATATACAAACATATACATATATTCTACAGTCACTATATTGTTTACTCTAGGGTCATCGTAGAGTACAGTAGATATCTACACATCCCCTTACCAACTCTAAGCTAACCGTGAACAAGGTATTCCCTTGCCACTCCAAAGATAAGGCTTTGAAAGGTTGGTCAAGGACAAGCAAACAGACACAAAGAAGCTGCACGTAGACCTCCAAAGAAATGATGCTAGGCAGAAGTGCCTGGAAACCAATCCAGCTATGGCAAGTTCCTGGTGGGGGAAAGAGTAACTTATTCACCCTAATAAAGCAGCCAGGAACAAAGGCCCTTGGGTCTTCCATCTTTCTGGAGCCCCCTCCCCTGATTCTTATCAAGGTAGGTAGCTATTGTCTCCTTTCTCCCTCTTCTTTTTCCTCTTTACAAATAAAGTGTCTTCTTTTCATTAAACTTTGTCCCTCTAATTTTGTGTGGGGGCTGAGTTACAGTCGCAGTGGGCTGCTCGGACAGCAGAGCAGCAGTGCTCGTTCCACAGATATCTTTGGTTCCCTGACCAGAACCCAAACGTGGCACTGTTATGTGGTTTCAGGACCAAACTTTTGAGGGTGACATGTAATGTCTAAGAGAGTGTTAGTACATAGATGACCCATTGTATTGGTCTTTGTGTACAGGATCTAAAATAGACTGAACATTTATTTGCATGCCCTTGCTGACTTTATATTTCTAAGTCCTAGAGAGGGAGGGGTCTGCCCATCCTTTATTCTCATTTCTTTCCTGATCCTCTTCTTTCTCAGGTGCACCCCTACCCCCATAAAGGACACCTTAATGTTACTGCCCTTTGAGACCTTCACCTTTCATCCCTCTTTGCTACGAAACCTGGAGGGAGCAGCCGGGTCGGGCCTTGTCTCAGGGACCTGGGATGGGGTCCTGTCTCAGCTGGTGCCCGCTGCTGAGTCAGAGCCATCCATGAGCCACAGCCTCCCCAGTCTGGCATTTTGGTCTTGATGAGTGGGCGGAAATTCACCTCCATTTGTGCTATGATTTGGGGAGATGTGGGAGAGAGCTGGACAGAAAGGGAAATCTTAGGTGCCAGAACAGGAAGTCCTTCAGGATAGGATAGAATGACAGCCCCACAGACCAGCTTTTTTCTTAAGGTAGAATTTTATTTATTTTTATTTTTATTTTTATTTTTTTTGGTTTTTGGTTTTGCTCCGGTACCGGGAACCGAACTCACGACCTTGCGCTTGCCAGGCAGGCGCTTTTGCCGCTGAGCTAAATCCCCAGCCCCTGTACTTCTTTTAAGTAATGTGTGTTCAATTCATGTGTCTGTCTATTGATTGGGCTATTGATTTTTTTTTTTTAATATCTTTTCAGTTCTATGTGTGTTGTCAAATTAATTCTCTGTCAGAAG